TTAGTTTAGGAATCCATTCATTTAAAAAAGTTATCTTATTTGGGTCTGTCTTCAAGTAGAATACTGCTGAGTGAAGAATAAGCAGGCATTGGACTGTATTTTGTTTTGAAGAAGATATTTAATTAAAACTGACGAAGGTTGTGAAGTTTGCCTAATCTTAAAAAAATTAGGATTGGTTTTGGTTTCATGTGATTAAGGCGCACCTCGAGAAACTTAGGAGGAATGTTATGTTATGCTATGCTATGTTATGTTATGTTATGTAGAAGTGAGGGGGCCAAGGTTAGCCCCCTCACTTCTACATAACATAACATTCCTCTTAAGTTTAAGGCCCAGCAGCGGCGAGCGGTAAAGTCGCTGGACAGTGGTAGTTCGGTCCGACGTTCGGAACGGTCTGGCTGCATGGGCGCTTTCGTGGTTTTCCCGATGTGTAACATGTATACGAGCCAGTTCCCCTTCGAAAGTCCTCCACGAAGGCATCCATCCCCTTAGGCATATAACCCTCGAGGTTTTGCCGTAATTAAATAACCTAACCTAACCCTGTAATGACATTTTATATTAATAATTTAAAATTAAAGTCAATTATTTGGAAGTCAATTTAATGTTAAGAAAGTAATTTTAAAGTTAATTCTATGAGGTATAATTTTTAAACACTTTTCAAATCATGCCACTGTTTCTGCGCCACCGTGCCTTATGTAATAAGTATTTATGTTAAAAATATAAATTCTGTAGTCTTTGAAATTTAAAATAACGAAAAGGAATACATAAAAAAGTTCATTACAAAACGATAATGCAACAGCAGCGCTTTTGATTATTTATATAATTAAAGAAAACTGTAACGTTGCTTTTATGTAAAAATTACTTCCCTCATCTTAGGTTTCGAAGATATTAAGTATTTTGTAGTAGAAATCTTCTAGTGGAGGCCAACAGGCGAATATAAAACGTTGCTAGTACCTGATTTTCATTCCAGTTATAAAACTACTATGAGAAGAAGCTAGCTGACTTTTTTAACATGTGCTTTTCTTGAGGAAACGAAATATATATAATAGTGAAAAATACATTCCTTCACGAAATGCTTTTTTGAAGGCAGTTAGCACTCGACTTACTCCAGCCCATGCAAAATATATGAAGAATTCTTAGACATGCATTTTATTGAGGTACCATCAAGGATAATAATCGTTAGAAAATGGTTAGAAATTATTATCTTAGAGTTTTGATGAAAAAATTTATCGTACACAATAATTTTTTTTTTTTTTTTTCGATAATCCTAATGAACTCCTTCGAAGACCACTGATCTTTTTGGCACGAATCTTAAGTTTTCACTAATTAGCTCAAATCAGGAAAAGACGACAAAAGTCTTATCTTTCGAACCCTAAATGAGGCAGTTTTCCCTTAACAACTGCAAGCTTTTCTTTAAGCTATGAACTGCAGGCTGTACAAAAGGTGGAGTGCAGCCAGAGGTCGTAGTAAAGGAAGAACACAAGACTGTGGGGATTGACGCTAAATTTAACCTGTTTTATCGTCGAAGAATTTTTCTGTCTCTTTTCACACGAACATCTGTAGCTCATGCTTGAATTTTTAGGTTTTGTTTTCTGAACTTCACCTTTTGTAAGTGCAATTTTATCTGTAAGACACGTGCGAGGATTTACAGAAATGAAGAGCTATTTCATTTCAAGTTTGTGAAATACCAATAACCGATAAGTTTCCTCCATGTTTTTGTGTCATCATTCTTCTGAAACAACAATATATGAAATAATTTTTGAAGAATATATTAACCTCATATAATTATTAAAATTCGAAAACTTTGAATCGCAAAGATATAAATTCTCGAACTGGGGCAAAATGCAACATAATTTTAGAGAAGTGTGTAAAGTTAAACAAAAATTAACCTTAATGTGTTATAGACTCCAAGCTTATCTCTCTCGAAGTCGATAAATTGTTTCTGTCACATCAGGGCAATTTAAAGTTGATTTTGCCTAATTTCATATTTTGTATTTGCATCTTCTGTCCCATATAATCTCATATGTAGGTGGTCTGAAATTATGAAACTAATGATTTCTCAGCGTGACAAAAAATAAAATCGTCTTATCGTTAATGACATTATGGAGTTTAAGAAACAGTAAATCCTTAAAATCAAACTACCTTCGCCCGAAATCGAAAACGGTATTTTCGACTAAATAACTCGGTGAATCAACGGTATTCATCGTGACTTACTGCAGGTAATACTATTGTGTATTGTATCCAATTTTGTATCCAATTTTCATGATAATTTTTTTGTATAATTTATACATTAACGAAAAGGAAGCTATCCAGTTTTCACTAGATTGCACTGAGTTTCCTTAAATGAGGCTCTATATCCTGAAACACAATATTTTTTATATAAATGCAACTTTGATAAATGCAGAATGCACACTGGAAATTAGGTTAAATGAAATCATGTGACATATATGACAGTCTTACAATTCATTTACTGCTGGCGTAAAATGCGAACATCAAATAGTTTTTGCACAGAACAAGGAAAATATGCATATGTGAGATGTGGAGAAGTTTGTAATTTCAGAGTGAAGAATTAGAACGAAGAGAACTAGTAGTTCAGTTCAAACTAACGATGGATGTCTACCGTTTTAGTCCTGAAACCAACTCTGAAGAGCATTAGAAGTTGGCGAATGAGAAAATTTTTAAAAATAAACGCTGCTTTCGCTCACTGACAAATATGTGATCTTCAAATGATCGGCTCAATAAACTATCCCTTTACAGCTGAAGATTAAATCTGAAGAATTTATATTCCTTATACTCCTATTATTATATTACATATAACATACCATATATAGAACATATTTTTTTTCATCGAATGTTATAGAAGTATTGCAGAACACCAAATGTAAGAGAAAGAACAGTTTATTCTAGTTAGAATATTCCGTACTACTTCTTCACGCCGTTTAACGTAATAGCTACGTATGAAATTTTTCTAATGAAACTTACTTTAGGGTATTCCTTAAAAAATATGAATAAAATCACATAAAAAATTTGCGAAAAATATATCCAAGCTATAAATTAAAAAGAATATTGAAGTTAGGTACTTATGTATTAACCCTTCCGCCGTAAAACCGCCGCCAAGAAGAGCGATTTAGTGCCAGTTATGGATAAACGCGACGTAAAAACGGATTCATAACATTTGCGTTTCCATGTGAAGTAAAACCCTATTTGTTCTTGGTAAGACCTCATACATCCTTATGAATGATGGTGAAAAATAGTTGTTATTGTTGTATTGTTTCTTGTATTTTAAAAAGTGATTAAGTTTTGGGACTTGCCTTGTACAGAATAACCAGCAGTGGATTATTTTCAAGGTTACGGCATTCTACCATAACAAAAAGTTTATTAATGAACACAATATGGTCAGCTGAATATGGCCGACCAAACATATTACAGTCACAAGCTTGAAGTATGTACTTATAGCGTTCTAAAACAGACCTTACTGTAAAATCGGAACGCCTAACAAAATAGTAGAAATCTACAAATGTCTTTTCACGAAGGGCAAAAAACAAAGCAGATCGCGATCGGCGCAACTTTGGCGGGACCTGCACAATGGTAGTCAATTTTCATGAACTAGGGAGTAATAAGTAAGTATCTGAATTTAATAAGCATCATCTTTTCATTGCAAATGTAACCATTAGCACAATCGTCTCATTGCAATTGCGACGATCAGCACAAACACATATGTGAGATTTGAACACATATACTTATCATCTAAGTTAACCGAAAAATTTCCGTTTGAAGATATGCATCTTATAGTATTACTTCTTCCTTTATTCTGTACAGCTTTGAAGAAGCAAAGGGAAGAAATAAATTTAAAATTCCTTTTTAATAGTTAGAAAAACTATATCACTTTATACACTTTATGCAACTTTATGCAATTGTCAAGGGCCGCTCTTAAAACTTCCCTTCCCAGACGATCATTTTTTCCATGTAATTCTCCTACTGAACAGGTCTCAGTATTTTTGTAGAATGCCAGATAGAATCGCGCTTCGTGTGATTGAAACAGTAGACAGGGAATTAATTTTAACATTAGAATAATTTCTGTCGCATATAATTTTTAAAGCTTGTGAAGAGCATCTTTTGTCAAAATTAATTACCTACGCACTGTTCTAGAAGCACTATAATATTGTAATTAAATACTTTACTACTATTCTTTTCTTTGCATCCAAGAAAAGCAGCTCATTTTCTCAGAACTTGTAAGGAAAAGCATGAAAGCTTTCTATGCAATGAATTTGCCTCGATGGAAATCGGGTTCTCGAAGCTAGTATATTCATTTGTTTTATATATGCTACTTCAACTACTTATTGGCCTTATTAGATAAGCTAGAATTTCTTAAAAGGCTCGAAAATAAGCATAAAGTATCGCAAGTCATGTTACCTAATTTTTTATTGTTAAAAAATGACATAAAATGCTCAAGAGATATTTTAGATGAGATTATACTTTAGCTTTTAAGAGTAGAAATTGTAGAGTACCTAAATAACATATGTTTGCTCAAAAAATGATAATTGCACTGTATTAATGAAACTGGTCCATATTTGCAATAAAATCAGGAAAACTCCACGCAAGCAGGAGAATTTTCATGGTTTTATTCATTCGATAGTGTTTGAACCCTTTAAATGCTTTCAAAAATTCAACGTCATAAGTTTTGACATCTTGCTTAGGATTCATAATTTATTTCACCAAGTATACTTTATGCATAATTTAACTAAATAGAATTTCATTAAATGGAAGAAATTGATAATTTTATTTTCATGAACTCAAAAGTGAACGACGGAACCGAATTTGTAATAGAAACTTGCAAGACGTTAGACACTTAAGCACAATAAAAATAAATTTAAGTCTTGAATTTAAAAAAGAAGAGCAGCGGGACGCTGGGAAACGTCACTGCAAAAGCTGGCGTGATTGCCAGAAATTTACCCACAACTCCCAACAAAACCTATAAATACCACCGTGATTCCCCTTCTCTTTGCCTTTGGTGAAAGGAGCTTTAAATTTAAAACTCTTCCTTAGCATTTAAAAAAAAAAAAAATCTTGTTTCTCAATTCAGCAATCATGGTTGACCAAGCTACTCTTGACAAATTGGAAGCCGGCTTCAAGAAGTTGCAAGCTGCTACTGATTGTAAATCTCTGTTGAAAAAATACCTGTCAAAGGAAGTTTTTGATGCCTGCAAAAATAAGAAGACCGCTTTGGGGGCTACTCTTTTGGACTGCATTCAGTCAGGTAAACCTAAATCTTTTTTTTTTTTTTTTTCATATTAATCTTAGATAGGAAGTTATTCATCAGTTGAACAATAGTTGGAATAAACTTTTGTTTCTAAAACTAGTTTTATATATGTACAATTCGAAGTCAAATAAAAATTTTGCTTAAATTCTTTGCTCAAATTTAGCCTATTGTGATATTAAGCTTAATAACCTGTTGTTCTTATTTCCTTAATCATTCTGCAAGTAAATATAAACTCATTATTTGTATACCTTTCTATAAAAATAAAATCAGATGAATATCCTCAGTCATTTAGGCATTAAATGCGGGTAAACACCCGTATAAATATCCTAAGTGAGATTAATCTAATAATAGAGTGAATGACAAAAGTAATTTTGAAACATTACCATAAAGCAATAGTCTTCAAACATATTACAAAATGCCTTGATCAAAACATCAGATCTTCAGAAAATGATGGATGTAAATCAAAATTTACCATAGGCGTACTTAAAATTAACTTAAATATAATCGAAGTGTCAGATTTCGAAAGTAACGTGTATTGTAACCTTGTTTCGGATATACCGTTTATAAATACAGCTAATGTTTTCTGTGGAAAGGTAGTTATAAGGATATAGCTTATGATAAATACAATAAAACTTCAGTACAGGATTTCAATTCTTTTAGTGCTGCTCTTTTCAGGGAGATCTTGAAATTTACCTGTTTAACCCTTTGCGACAGCGGCACAATGTGTCCGGTCTGGACACACCTAAAAATTTCCTCCTGTACGCACAGAAAAATTGAATGAAAAAGGATTTCTAGGTTACTCTGAACCTTCTTTATTTATAGTCGATGGCAGTTCAACACAAACCAGTCCATATATTTTATCCATGTTTAGTTTTTTTAAGACCCTCATTTTTCAAAGATATCTTCCAGATTTTTTTAGGGTATAAAAGGAATTGTTTGAAAAAACATTTCTATGGTTTTTTTCGGCTGTAGGCTAATCTCCTTATTCTATATTAGTTTTAAGTTTTTACCTTGAAATCTTGCTTAAAATCAAACGGCAAACCCTAGGTGGGCCCAGATAGGGCTCGCCGATAATCTATGACAACTGAGAGTCCGTATTCTTTGTTTCTTCGCATCTCATCGGTCAGTTTATTGACAAAAATGCTCGTTTCAGCATTCTTTTCGAAGTTCTATTCAATCAGTGTGCCACTTTGAGCACACCCCCAGAATCAAAAAATCTATAAGTGCTATCTTCACAAAATTTTACTTGTTTACTCCTCTAGGCCTAATTAGACTGCCTACTTTTTTTTAATCAAAACTCCGACTTTAAAAGGTAGCATGCCGGAAAGGGTTAATGCACAGCTTTTCACAGAATTCAATTCTTTCAATTTGTTTCCTAAATTTTATTCGTCGGTGTTCTCTCCAGTTCTCATTAAATTATAATTTTAAAGAAAGCAATGATATAAAACTTATGTTTAGAAAGGAAACTAAAACTCAAAATTTTAATCCGCCATTGAAATTGAAAATGCTTTTTTCCGTACCTTCACATGTAATTAAATCAATTTTCTATCTTACTACAGAAATAAGATTTACCTAAGTTTTAATTCGTCTGTCCAAATTTAATTTCATTAAACATAGTTCTTGCTTTCAGTCTGTTTATTTAAAGATATTGTTTTCCAAAATTCACTAACTGTATTGTAAATGAGTTTTGATTGTTATTAACAGAATATCTCAGAATATAACAGCAATGTATTTATACGAATACTTGAAGCTCTTTAAAGACTTTTCATGTCTACCTAAAGCATGAAGTTTATTGAACTATCGCACATCGCAAATGCACATCTTAGCAACTCCTCAGAAATAATTTTTTGACTTTTTGGCCAATTATATATAATGAAATGTAAAGGAATAGTATTTATTACATAAATTCCGGGTATAATTTGATAACACCAAATGTTTGATACAAGAAACGATTCTACCTTGATACAAGTGTGTTAATAAATCTTTATGTTCTTTCCAAATGATTACTTTTGTTTTGAATATCTTCAAATTTCAAAAAGCTTCCTCTGCATTCTTGAAAAATATAGTGGAGCCTGCTTGAATGTATTAGGGAAAGCTTTTCATGTTTCTAGACACTAAATTCTTACGCACTGAAAATTGGTTTTGGGAATTTGGGATACTTTAACAATATTTAGTCCTTTCAATCTTTAATGTAGCTAACGAGGCACTTTTATTGAAATATAATTTTTAGAACTGTATAATTTTGTAAAGTAATTTGCAGTTTGCCTCTAATGTTCTATTTCTTAATGGTTTGAAATAGTGTTGTATTTTTTTCAATTGGTGCTGTAAAAATTTGTTATTTAGTATTGAACACAAGTAAAATATAGTAAGGATATTTTTTCATTTAGAATCAACTACTATAGATTTTTACAAATTTGGTTTTTCAATATTTCACTGCATGAGGCTTTAACTAATGATTGAAATAACTATCATTAAAAATTCTAAACAATTAATTAAAATAGCGATCATTTTTCTCTCTTCCAAATGAAACTAAATTTTATAAGTTTGTCAATAATATAATTATAGCAATGAATGAATAACCATGCTTAATGACATCAAAATAGTTGAGGGTTATCTTCTAAAGAGAACGCAATGCCTTTGGAGATTTTGAAACACATATTTGCATTACGTTTGAGAAAAACGATCATTTCAGAAGTTTCTCAAATAGCGAATATATTACATTTTATTAGCAGTACACTTATCTTTTCTCTCGTCACTCATTCCTAGATTTTTTTAAAACGTTAACTCAAACATTTAGACTGATTGACGGACCTAAGTTTTATAGAATTACAATACAATGTGTGTAAAAACGAGCATCGATTCCCAACAATTAAACTTGTTATACCACATTGATGGAATATACTGCGATTGCAGTTCATTTGGTAAGTACTCTTCTTTATTAGAAGAGAAACTTATGAGTGGAATTTAAGCAAAAAATTAACCTTAGAACTGACGTAGATTTTGGAGGAATCGGATAAAAGTCCCTCTTCAGGAGCGGAAGGTTTTGTTGAGGGATGGAGGATTTGTGTGCTCCTCCTTACACTTTTGCAAAATATTTTTGTTCCAGGGTAAAAGAAGGGGGTGGTCTTAAGTTTGATAGTCATCAATTACGATAGTTTTATTCAAAATCTACGCCAATCTAAGCTTACAATTTTATCTATTTTTAAGTTGTTGTTTTAGTCAAAATGAAATAATTCTTAGCTTTAAAATAATAAACAAAATCTTTATTTTTATTGTACTTGATATCTATTTATGAAATCTGCATTTTTAATGCTATATAAAATGACTTCATAATTATACAGGAATTTTTTCATTGTTCTATTTAAGCTAGAATTTCTTGATAAATTTGATTAATCGTTCATTGACTATAACTTCGTTTATATTTGAAATTTTCATCTGTAATCACATATTGAAAATTTCCTTCCCTAAAGAGATCTTAAGTTAATCTAATAACATAGAAAAAAATTTAACTATGAATTTATGACCATATAATTATATTTTTAAATCCATCAATAGTAAAGGACGTACATAGATTTCATTTCTAATTCCAGTTTAATTTCTTCTGCATTTTCCTGCCAACCTAAGAAATGAAATGTACATTTCATCGATTTACTTAATAGTCTAACAATAACTTTCTGCTATTACGACTTACAGGTATTGAGAATTTGGATAGTGGAGTTGGAATTTATGCACCTGATGCTGAAGCATACACCCTCTTCGCTCCCATTTTTAACCCCATCATCGAAGACTACCACGAGGGTTTCAAGCCCACTGACAAGCATCCTCCTACTGATTTCGGTGATACCAGCACTTTGGTTAACGTGGACCCTACAGGAGAATTTGTTGTTTCTACCAGGGTGCGGTGCGGTCGCAGTTTGAAAGGATATGCTTTCAACCCTTGTCTGACCGAAGCTGTAAGTATTATAGAATTTAAGTTCATCATTTTCAGAGATATGAAATTAACTAGGAATAAAAGATTTAATTCTAGGAACACTTGATTCAGAAATACGCAGTTGGTTTTCCGTTAATTTTAACAGAATTTGAACTTAACTGCAATCCCAAACCATGAATTTCAAATCCATAGTCCCAAAACATTAAACTTATCTACATTAATTTCAAGAAAGGAATTTATCTATGGTAGTTTCTCCTGCAATGTTATATGAGGAATATGTCTCCCTTATCGTACGGACGTAAATTATGTGTTTAAAAGTAAAATATACTGATATTTTCAGAGAAATGAAGGGAAACTTAATATGATAATTTAGCCACTGTCATTACATTTGGAAGATACTATTCTAATATATGATTATGTTAATGATCTTAAGTTTCCGAAGCCAGTTTGCAACAAAATATTTTCAGAGGTATGCTGTGTTTTAGGCTTTAGATATGCTGTTTCAAACAATCTAATACTGTCTCTACGTTTTAGGTATGTTGCTTCAAACAATATAATACTCTGTCCGTGAGGAGAATGTTTCAATTACCCAACCAATAACGGAAACTCCTAAAACGTTTCCACTATATTTTTTTAACTTCTGTGGAGGCTGTCATCTTAGCGAATGATCATTAGCTATGTTGTTAAATACCGATGTTTGCTTATATCGTCAAACTCGAGATGGTAACCATAAAAGCGTATGATAGTAGCAATAAAAAGTTTCACTTTATTATCGACGTATATGCTTCGTTGCTGCATTTGCTTTCTAGAATGATTAAAGTTAGATTTGAAATGAAAGCTTTTCTTTAAATGGTAAAAATAGAAGCCCATTTTACTCATTTTCAATTTTATACTCGGGACAACTCTTTCGTTGAACGGTTGTTAATTTCTGAACAAAATATTTCGTTGAATGATTTGTTATGAAATTACATTTCTTCTTTCAAAGGTCAAGCTCACCTCCTTACTTTCTTCATTCTGCAGTATTTTCTACGGTTAATCCATTTAAAATTCCACAGATCATTTAATTGTGTAGTTCGCTTAATTTTTAGCCCAAAAAGGCATTAGCCCAGTTCTATTAGTCTCGAAAGGCATTTTGCGTCGAATTACTAAAAGAGTTGAATCACTTTTCAGATTTTTGCCACCAAACATTATCTCCCTGTATTATATTTAAAGAACTTAAATAATGAAGAGCGCGATTATGGGCACTGGAATCCCAAATTTTGAATTTCGAATTTGTGTTTACTCTATTTCATATTTTGTAAACTTTAAACGAATTTTTGATTAATAAACGGCTAATCTTTGGAATATGGTAACAGGTAGTTTGACGACATTTTGGTACGGTGATAAAGGTTACTAGCTAGGACTTTAGCAGTGTACATGGATATAGTCGAATGTGCGCAATGTCCTTTTTGTGCAATTCTGGGATGTTTTTTTAAGTGAAAATAGGTCGACGTGTACATGGATGATACCCGTGTATGTGCAATTCGTAAAAACGCGGTAAGCATTGGGCGATTCTTCACTTTGTCCCAATTTCGCACCTAATCTTCGTCATGATTAAGCACTTTTGTTCATAAAAGTTCTAGCACAAGCGTAATTCGGCTAGCAGATTGTTGAAAAAAAATGTTGATTAAAAAAAAAATGCCTTTACTACGTGAAAATAAAATGACGTCCAAACAAAAACTAGCAGGTTGCTGTAGCAGGGTTGGTCGCCAAATTTTCGCCAAAAAATCGCCAAGTTACCATAATCTAAAGGTTAACCTAATAAACTTAACAATTTCAAAGCTAACAATTTCAACACTGTACGAGGGAAAAAAAATCTCCCTCCCGCGAGACTGTCTTTTGAAAAATTTTTAAAGGTATGATGTTTTTAAATATCTTCAGACCAAAGGGACATTAGTCTAAATGCTCTCGAAACGTGCACGTGCGTGTTAATGTAAAAAACGCCTCTTTGGGCTTAATGTAAAATCTGAAAGCTTTCAGTTCGTTTTTTTAGGAACCGAAAAATTTTCATAAACCGTTGCGAGACGCTGCACGAAAATCCGCAACTGTCCCACACAGTTAGGAACATTTTATTATTTTAAGTTCAAAGTAAAAATGAATTTATAAAATAAGAAAAGTGAAGTGTTAAATGAACTAACTAAGCTTTAAATCCGACATGAAAGTGATTGATTCTGAATTTGACAATATAAAAGATTTCTTTCGGGGACCTAAAAGTGAAACTTGTTAAAATTATAGTTCAAGATTCAATTAAAGATGCAAGTATAAAATTTTAAGGTAACATCCGTAATCTTACTTCATTTAAGAAGGTTCTTTTAATCCTAGTTGAATTCTAATTTTTTTTTTCCTAAGTAACTTCTTTGAAAGGTGAGAATTCTGTAAAAGTATTTTTACTGCATGGTGATGCAACTCTTAAAATTTGTTTCAGAACTACAAAGAAATGGAAGAAAAAGTTTCCGCTGTATTTTCAGCATTTGAAGGTGAACTCAAAGGCAAATACCATCCTTTGACTGGTATGGACAAAGCAACTCAGCAGCAACTTATCGATGATCATTTCCTCTTCAAAGAAGGTGACAGGTATGTAATTTACAAATAAGTTCTATGCGTCTTGAAACATTTTCTAAATTAAAGCACTCCAAACTATTCTTTCTGTAATTTATTAAATAACAGCGTACATCCCATCAAAATCAGTTATTCAAAATTATCATTCAGAGACCATTTATACTTTAGTCTATCCACTCATACATTAGTATATCGACATCCTTTCTATAAGTGAGATTACTTTAAATCTGCATAATTGCTACCATTTTTAATTGAATACAGACGTCGCAAACAACAACGTATGCCCTCTGCTGCTTGTGATTATAGTATTCTGTAGGATATGGAATCGTATTGTGACATTAAGCAAATCCAAGTCTAAAATACTGAGCCCTAAACCTCAAAACACTTTGGGTAAATCCCTCTAAGAAGATTCCAAATGTTAATATTTTTAATTAATTTAGTAATAAATTGGTACTACGTATATTATAGTTTTAGTATAAGAAATTAAGCAGACGTTTTTAGTTAAAAATTTTGGTTAAAAAGTATACATCAAAGAATGTGGCCATCTTAGAGCGAAAATTCTGTAAAAACTAAATAAAAAATATGAAATAAATTAAGTTTTAATTTTCAGGGGATGAAATCATCGCTTCTCCTTAATCCAACTATGAAATTGAAAAAAATCCAGTTATGCTAAATTCGATATAAGTATTGTCGGATCAAAAACCGGAGCACTAGAGGAAGCATAGGCTCCAAGTAATTAAATCTAAATTCGAGAACTCTGAGTTGAAAAGCTCTAATGCTGTGTGGCATAATTCTCTCTTCATAATGAACGATAAAACATTCATCATTCATTTTATGTCATTAGGTTTAATTTCGAATTCTAGTTAAGCAGCTCCGATTCTTATGCTCCCGATTTTATCTACATAGCAGAGGAACGGTCAGTCTGGCAAAATCATCTGAATTGGTTGGGAATAGGAGAAACGGGGTGCAATTTGCCTTGGGCACCATTGCAAGCTATGTCTCACTTTCCTCAGCAAAAATATGAATGTTATAACACTATAGTAAATTATTAACGCCTTTTGAAAAAAAGAGGAGAATAGAAATGAAAAATGTTAAGTACTAGATATTTTTAGATTGTTACACACAAAAAAGTCAAGTGTTGCAGAATATTTTAATTCAACACAGAAAAGATATTGAAATGGAAGCTGAAGAAAATCTGTTTAAAAACGGTGTATTCAATATTAACACTGGAGGAAATATATTTTATTTGACTCAGTTTGCAGAGGAAAGTTCAAATGAATAACGTTATAGTTCGGGAAATAAAATCTTAATGCTAAATACAGTTCTTTCATTGTAAAAAGACTGACAAAGTAACTGACATTGAAATGACAAGTCATAAACATCAATACACTTCTAAAATAAATCTCCTGAAATACATAAGGTATTATGTTCTGATAAGACATATGTAACCTCCAATTACAGTAAGATGCATCACGTAAGTTTTTATTTATTTATTTTTTATTTAGGTTTTTGCAAGCCGCCAATGCCTGCCGCTATTGGCCCACAGGCCGTGGTATCTTCCATAATGATGCCAAAACCTTCTTGGTGTGGGTGAATGAAGAGGATCATTTGCGTATTATTTCCATGCAAAAAGGCGGTGACTTGAAGGCTGTCTTTGAACGTCTGGTCAAAGTAAGTTCTTTCGCATAATCAAACTATTATCATTTACTTAAAAAATTTAGTCCACTAGTAACGTCAAATTGCTTTAACAGCTTTGTTATAGCACCTGATCATTTTAATCAGCAGTTTATGCATCAAATTGAAATGTAATAAAGATTAAATGTCCAAATTATATTAAGTTCTAAATCTGACTCAAATCCCGTAAAATAAGAATAGGCGATAACTTAATGTAAAGTTAACGCTCGAAATTAATAGTAATACAGGTATATTTCTGAAAAAATATTTAATTTTCCAGAACCTTAAAAAAATGTGGAGCAAATGCTCGTGAAAAGATTGAGGGCGCACGGCATAGATCCCACTAGAACTTTTAAGACGCGAATTTTTGACAAGAGAAGCATATTTAACAATCCTTACGCCTTTAAGTGACTCAATACCATTTCTTATCCACTCAGCTTAAGATCCATCTGCGGCTGAGCAGTGAAAGTCTCTCGACACTGGCAGTTCGTTCTGAGGTTCAAATCCCGGCAAACGAGCTGACTGCATGGGTGTTTCGTGATTCTCCCATGTGTAGTATGTGTAACAGCTGATTTCTCTTGTAATGTCCTCCATGAAGGTATACCTTTACTTAGGCAAAGACCCCTGGAGTGCTTTGCCATACTGAAACAATCCAATCCATTGATGAGTATCTACTTATTGGAATATTGTTTCTCCACATATCGCAGAATCATTAATTTGTCTTTCAGACTATACCTGATTAACTAAGAGTAACTTTAAAATAATAAACTTAATTTAATATTTAATCATTCATCTAATTGATGCAATATACAAAAGCATAATATTAATTGGTAAAATAGTTTCTAACGCTATTATTACGTACCTCAGTATAAAAAAGTTTTGTTTCTTGGCTACATAATTGTTAAATTTTGGTTTATATCTTGTTTAATATAGTAGAAAATTGACTCTGTTGTAGCCATTGATTGATGATCATTCGTAAAAACGTACGGTTTGTTAACGCACTGAGAAAAAGAGACTATGTTGTTGGGAAAAAAATTATGGCCGAACTTTACATTCAAGTAAGAGAACACGTTTTTGTAGGTCGGGCCTTCTTGACATTGAAACGTTATTCACAGAAGTGTTTGTGCTTTCTTATTTTTCACTGGCTGCTCGCCATCTTTAGGAATAGGCTGGATCCCCCCCTTTTTTTTACGCCAAAGTTTCTTTCGTAGTTTCTTTGTTACTACTGATCTAATTGTTAAGTAAAGCTGCTGAGAAGACACTTTTACAACTTCTTTTTTCTTAGTTGATGAACAAGTGGTTGAAACATTCTTCACTTTCTTTGGCAGTGTTTCAATGTTTAATTTGGGGGGAGGGGTAATGATACACATTTGTAACTCTGCGCCATCCTAAATCACAATAAGCTGTCACCTAAAAAACTGACTGTCACATAAAAATCTGCATTTAATCGTATCTGAAGACTGCCATTTTAATAAATATGTGAAATATTAGGAATTTAATTTGAATTCAAGTTTACTAATAGAATAAAGCAAGAAGAAATTATTTGTATCTCCACGAAACAATAGCCACGTATTTCAGGATCTCTTTCCAGAATTGATTATTTAATTACAGAAAAACAGGAGAGGTATATCGTAAGTGAAAGGATGCCTTTTGTATAGTACTTCTGGGAAAAACTGATACACATAAAAAGATCGGAAAGAACCACCCAATCTGTTCGCAGATTGGAAGTTGACTTCCGTCGTAACACGACGTATGATTTTGCTTTAATTCTGTTTTAGATTTACGAAATGGCTCGTTCGCCTTCCGTCGAGCATGAAATGTTAGCTGACTTTGTTGGGAATAGGATTGCCATGTACTCTCCGCTGAGGACTAATAGAGGTTACAACCGGAAACATCGCGGACGAAACAACGCAAGGCGAAAACGCAGTTCTAAAACATCATGGTACAAAAATATCATCGTCGAAAATAAGGCGGTTCAAAACTTTGCAGTTTAAAAACACCGTAGTCGAAAATATCGCGGTAAAAAATAAGCACTATAAACCTTAAGTGGTAAGCACCCTATAAATCATCGCATGACGATAATGTCGTACACATGCGTTTCTCAGGTTTTAAAAGTTGTAAATGCATATTCGCATAAAGATTTGGAAGCGCAAGAAATGTTAATGACACTTTAAGAATAAACTGGAACAAAATAAGATATAATTTTCATCAAAACAATATCAGATTAAAACTTAAAAGAAAGTAATTTGATAATTAACTAAGCAATTTTTATACAGGTAATTTCATGCAGTTATTTATCTTCCTTTTACTAGACATTTTTAGGCTGTATTTTTCATGAAAAATTATGAGTAAGACTTTATAAAAATTATGAATTTATTAATGACATTTGTTAATTAACTGTGTAAATTAATAAGTCTATTAAGTGATGTAAGCTTCATTAATTTTCTATTCATTTTCAATTTTTAAATGCTCAAGTTTCTTTTTTACTTTGTCAACTAAAGTTTATTAGTTCATTCAAAAATATGAAATATAAAAGTAAAAATAATCCCTCTTTCCTTCTTGCTCTCCCAAATCATTATTCGAAAATGTATTTACAACTTTTAAAACCTGAAAAACTCATGTGTGCGATGTTATCATCATGCGATGATTTGTAGGTACTTTATTTTTTACCACGATATTTTCAACGACGATGTTTTTAAACTGCGAAGTTTCTGAACCGCTTCATTTTCGACGACGATATATTGTACCTCAATGTTTTAGAACTGCGATGTTTTCTCTTTGCTTTCTTATCTCCCACGACGTTTTCTCCTTGTTTTTGCAAAGACTTTTCGTCCTCGATGTTTTCGGTGGACATCCAAACAGAAGTATTTTTGAGGGATTCTCCAACAGTTATTACTCGAGAAATTTCTCTCTACTCCCATTCCTGATGATAAAGCTGAAAAGATCGACGTAGATGAGCACACAACTTTTGAATCTACGAAAAGAAGGAAAGACTGCCTCGCAAAGCAGTATAGATGATTACACCCTAACCAAAGATGAGATCAAATTGACTTTCTCTTCTAGCGCGATAAAGCATTAGGCTATCTAATGTGTAAAGGAATTTCAGTTAAAATTAAAACAGAACTTTGTAAGTTGGTCTTCCCAATTACAAAAGTCAGCCAGTTCTCCATAAAGACTAAACATGAATCTTTAAAGCTTCCCGTTTTCTTTGCTGAAGTTAAGGGCTCGGATACTGATCAGAAGATTTATTCAATTAAGAAGGTTCTTGATCTGAACATCAGAAAAAAATCGTTCGGATAAAACTTCTATGATCTGCTTTCGATGTCAGCGTTTTGGGCACGGCCGGATCGGCTGCAAAAACACACCTAGATGTCTGAATTGTGGGAAAAACAATTTCCCACAATTCAGACATCTAGGTGTGTTCCTCGATCCGAAATCGATCGAGATACATCACTTGCAGATTGAAGATGGATGAAAAACCAACGTGTGTTCGATGTCGTTCCGACTACATTGCTACCTCCAAGGACTGTCCGCTATTTCCGAAACGGCAAACGAAGTTGCCTAAATTCCGCGGTACGATTAATTACCCGTTATTCCGGATACTGCTACTCTGCCACCTGTAATGGACTTGGTTGCAGCTCCCCGATACATCTTCTGAAAGAACAAAAGCTTCAAAGCATACTTGTCAAGATTTTGGACGCAATGAAACACGGGGCCCCTTCTTTTGAGCTATGGGGACACTTGGGTCCAGGTGGGCTGAAGGAAGCCTCCAATTCTTACAATTCTTACAGTGAAAACATGCAAGAAATCTGATTCTCCGCTGCAAAATTATATTTTGCATTGGAACTTTTAAAGATCATCGAAGAAGCTGAAAGAAATTAATATTTCTCACCTCTTGGAATAATGGTTCGCTGAAGTAGGTCACATGCCTCCTGCTTTCCGATTCGTCGATGAAGCCTTCCGATTCGCTGGCTGGCGATCCCAGCAACTTGCCAGTTTTTCTTTCTCCTTCCCTGAGGTCTCGTATTGTTCAATGGATGACTTCAAGATTTCCGCATATTTTTCTTTCTTCCGATTACCCTATTCATGTTTGGGCTACAGAGGGTCAGGCTCCTTTTTTCTTCTCCTCAACATAAAGTCCTCTGGGAATACATCAGGAATTTACATCTTCATGTTCGTTGTGGACCTATTTAGTCTACCAGTAAAGTACTCTTTTATAACGCATAAGTATCCGAGTAACCAATCTATTCAGTCTTTGGGAAAGGAACTCAGGATAAATTACTAGATTGCTATTATTCAACAAAGCTCTTTAGAGAAATTATGTAAATGCAGCAAAATATTTGTTAAACAGAAATGCTGGAAACGATTTTTAAGGAATTTTTGAAGCCTAATCGAATGCAACCACGTAAACAGTCAGTGTAAAAAGTTGTCCATCAGTGACCAAATGGAAGGATTTTGAACACTTGTAGTTCGACCCAGTTTCAAATCCCGGCAAACTAACTGGCTGTGTGATTATTTTCATGGTATTTACTAACCAGGGAATGCCATATAGTTCCTTACAATAATACTGCAAGTCCAGCTCGTTCAGTCTGATAGCTGACTGAAAATATTATCGTAATATCAGCGTACGCTTCATGGAACATCTTGATACTCCTTGGAAAATTTTGAAATAGTGATGCTATAGTTCAAAGTCCTTAACATATCGTGTAAAAAAATCGCAAGACTTACCGTATATGCCCGCGTATAAGTCGACCCCCCTCCCACTTCCGAAATCGATCGAGAAATTTCGAAACATTTTTTTTAAGTACTACAGTTACTCAAAATCATCTGAGAATTCAAGTCCGATTCATGGTCAGATTCGCCAAACATTTCATAGAACTCTTCTGTCGTCATTGGCTCGTCATCATACATATTTTCAGTCTCGAACTCTGTATTGTTACAATCACTACTAGAGCATTCGTCGTCATTTTCACTTTCAAAAACAGTATCATCTTCCGTGCCTCTAGTTCGTTGCTAATACAACATTTTTTAAATGATTTTATAATCATTTCAGAGGGTATTTCGTTTCAAGCATCTTTAACCCACTGAGCAATTAATGTAATATCATGCTTTTTAATGTTGCCTCCCTTTGTAAATGTTGGTCGACCGGAACTAATCCACTCTGCCCACTAACATTTACTTAGGCTGATTGAGGCAGACATCTAGGGGTTGAATGACGGATGTCAATCCTCCCGGAATTACGGAATCCAAAACGCAGGATAATTGGGGGAAAATGATCGTATATAGTAACCTTCTAGAGTTTGTCCCGGAAAAGATTCGCGTACGTAAAATCTATCTGCATTTTCCCTTTTCAAAAGTTAAAAGAAAATTCAAAACTGTTCAGTTATTGCGTGGGCTATTTTTTTAAATTTTGACGTGTACGCCTGTTAATAAACGTATTTCATGAATGAACAATAACTATTATAAAGACTTATAAGTACGTAAAAACTATCTGCATTTCTCTTTTCTTGGCGTGTTGGCGAAACTTTTTATTGCTCGATATTGATCGGTTGTTCGGGGGGCCGAAAATTCTTTGGTTTAATCGCAACTTGCTCTAAAGTATGAAACTCTGTGATTAGTTAGTCACATAATTTAAGTCATGAAATTACTTCAAGTAAGTGACTTATTTGATAAGTCGTCCAATTTGAGTGCGGAAAGAAAACAACTGCATTATATAAAGAAATTTTTGAACTTCCGATTCTTTTAATTTTTTATGGCCCCGCGTATAAGCCGACCCCCCACTCTGACATCTTTTTTTTGTCCAAAATATCTTATATACTTATACGCGGGTATATACGGCTTATACGCGAGTATATACGGTATATGGATTGATTTTAACGGCTGATTGCGAAATGTAAAGTTGTTGACAGAACTAAAAACATTTTACGCTGTACTCTGAAATTTTGACCATGGGAATATGTCAAGAAATCTCTTCGTGCTTACTCAAGTTTTTACTGTATTAACAGCGTATTAAAAACGCCATGAAAACAATTGATATGGATTTGCTGCAATATTTGGTGCAAGAACTTACCTAGCATATAGAATAAAAGGAATAAAACGGAAGGAATGAAAAACGGTTCTATGCAGAAAATTTGTAAATATACGAAGGAGAACTTTTTTTTTTTTTTTTTTTTTTTTTTTTTTTTTTTTTAGTCCAAAGGGATTTGAATCCCGAAGGACTATTAGTTTCGTTTTGGCATTTTGCGTCGGACTCATAAATGTCGGTTCACTTTTCAAACTGTTGCCACAAAATGTTAGAGTCCTGCATTATATTTGAAGAAATTAAATAATGAAAAATCTGCATAAATGTATGTATATTCTCGTATTGTGATAAAAACAACAGTACACAGAGTCATCGAATTTTGAATAACGTAATCCTCCAACGAATATGAGCATGTGGAAGACCAAATTTGAAATTTGAAATTTGTTTTATGATCGATTTCCTATTTTTTAAAACTTTGACGAATTTTTGATTAACAAACTCAAGGATTTCAAAGCGAGCAATGGCAACGTTGTGCAGAAAAAACATTTTTATCTCCAGCGCGTGAGTCTCTGTATCGGAAATTCTAAAGATATGCTCGTTTTAAAACTATTTTGCGATATTGCTGTTGCACTGGATCTTATGGTTTAAGTGCGAAGAACATGATATTTAATAAAGAAAGGCAACACACAAAATGTTAAAAAACGCCTCTTTGGACGTAATTTAAAATCTGAAACATTTCAGATTTTTTTTCTGTATTATAAGTACTTCACAGTGGTTCCTTTATTATAAATATAGGCTAATTTATATCAGTGTACAAAGTAATTGCATTCTTCTTGAATTACTCTATTTTACATAAAATTTGAAAATAACACCTTTCGCTAAAGCAAAAATGTGAGTAAAATTTTAGGAATCTTTTTTGGTTAATCTTTGGATTATGGTAACTTGGCGATTTTTTGGCGACCAACCCTGCTACAGCAACCTGCTAGCTTTTGTTTGGACGCCATTTTGTTTTCACGAAGTAAAGGCCTTTTTTTAACTCAATATTTTTTTTTCCAACAATCTGCTAGCCGAATTACGTTTATGCTAGAACTTTTATGGAACAAAAGTGCTTAATCATGACGAAGATTAGGTGCGAAATTGGGAGAAAGTGCACAATCGCAAACTGCTTGCCGCGTTTTTAAGAATTTCACATACAGGCTATCATCCATGTACACGTCGACCTATTTTCACTTAAAAAAGCATCCTAGAATTGCACAAAAATGGCATTGCGCACATTCTTGACTTTATCCATGGACACTGCTAAAGTCCTAGCTAGTAACCTTTATCGCCTTACCAAAATATCGCCAAACTACCTGTTACCATATTCCAAAGACTAGCCCTTTTTTTTTTTTTTTTTTTTTTCAATTATAGCTTATATTGTATGAATATTTTATAATTACTTCAGAATGATTAAACGGTTGCGAAAATATTAGTTGAAGCATTTATGTACACAATCTACAATGTTGTTTCAAATAAAATAATTTTCTTTTATTAGGCTGTGAATATCATTGAATCAAAGCTGCCATTCTCTCGTGATGACCGCTTGGGTTTCTTGACTTTCTGCCCAACTAACTTGGGTACTACTATCCGAGCTTCCGTTCACATTGCTCTTCCTAAACTCGCCAAGGACAAGAAGGTTCTGGAAGACATTGCTGCAAAATTCAATCTACAAGTCCGAGGTATATTATCATTTTCATTTAATAACTCAAGTCTGATAAATCATTATAAAAATTAATAAGAGCAACCTTGACTTGAATAATTGAGAATTAGTAACTGAATGACGAACGAATGGACGCCTCATCTATTAAAATGAATAAAGCCTTTATTTAGAGTAGCAAATTGCAATCATGATTCCAAAAGACATTGCTGTTTGTTAAAGCCAAACCATTTTATCACATATCTTCTAAGTTCGCAATATGTATTAAAATCATTCGGATTTGCATTATATATAGCATTTTTAAAAACACTTAACACCTGATAAATTCTTCTCTTTGGCATCAAACTTGTAAAAGAAGGAAGATAATTTAAATTAAAACCGTGCAGAACTGACTCGTATATTGATACTATTTTTAAAAAGTGCAAATTTTCATCATAAAGATTAAATGTTGTATTAGTAAAAAGCAACTGCATTTGATAGAAATAATTTGTATCAGTTTCACTTGTCCTTCAGCTTTCTCAATCTATTTGTCAATTGAAGCAGAAATAAATGCATACTTTATTAAGTGATTTAAGTGACGTCGATCCTATTCATGCATCGTCCCATCATACGCTTAATTTTATGCATGATTATTACTAGTCAATGCATTTAAGCAAGAACAGCAACTAACCTCACGACGCCATTGCATAGAAGACTAATAAGAACTTTCGACGCTCTAAACTGCATTTCTAAAATTCAAAACAGCCATCACCCTTGTTGTTCTTATCATTGCCTTTTGATGCTCTGTTAGGCGCACCTGTATCTGATATACATAATCAAAAAATTACATTTTTCACATTTAATCAAATATCTTTTCGCTTGGTATCTGAATGAGATCTTTTCCGTTATAGGACAACATGGGCCAAATAAGTTTATACAGAAAGATGCATCAACGTTCCCCATTGGCCACCATTAAATTAAACATTTTCTAACCATAAGGTGCTTTTATTTAAGAGTTACTTAAATGTTTGTAAGTGTTTTAATTTTCAGAATAAGTATTATCAACAAAACGTTTTGAAATCTGTTTCGTTGTCTTTAATTGCAATAACTAACGTAAAAAAATTCTAACGAAAAAAAAAAAGTGCTTAGTCAAAATGAACTGATAATGAGAATCTTTTCTTCTTCAAAATGTGAAGTTCGCACATATACCTTGACAGACAAAATTCTTCGACCAAAGGACGCTACTTGTCTCGAAATGGGATTTTAGCATTGGTTCACTATAAATGACGTATCATTTTTCAAATTGTTTCCACCCTGTATTATTTTTAAAGAAATTAAATAATAAAGAATATATGTATATTCCTCGTATTGTGAAAAAAAACCCAGAGCCATCAACTTTGAATAACGTAGTCCTCCACTCGAAGGTGTGCACCTGAAAGCCGAGATTTGAATTTGTTATATTATTTATTTCGTAATTTGTAAAATGTTAAAGAATTTTTGATTAACATACTCGACGATTTAGAAGTACTAGTACTGTTCGAAATATAACATTATTTTCAGGGCGAGGCTGTTGCTATTCGGAAAAATGTAAGATATTTATCTTCCAATTTTAATCGGCTTATGAAAACAATGTGTTGTCGCGTCTGAAAATAAAATACTTTAATCTTCTACGCGCCAGTGGGTTCCCATTCAGTAAAACTTGAGGTACTTTTAAATGTAATCTGGAAGGTTACTGAGCAATAAACTAAGCGATTTGAAAGCCATAAACAGTTCTCAAGAATATATTTTTTATAAACTGATATTTTTTCTAATTTTTAATGGGATTTATTTAAATAAACACGTATCAAAATCCTGAGATGTCCAATTAGAAATATTTAGTATTTGGTACAGTTCCGTTATAAAGGCCGTAAAAAATCACCAAACTACTGTTTATGGCAATGCTGCCAAAACTAATTAACCCTAACGCAAGAAGGGAAACATAATAGTAAATAACCATCTAAGATTATTGTTTTAGTTTAGATGAAAGGTTAATTAGATGGTTAATTAACAAAATTATATTCAGTATATATTTCAGTTTTGTGCAAGCGTATGTACATAAACTCGGACAAATAATAATCGAGACGCTGTCCGGCAGCGCGACTTTTATCACGCCATTTAGCACTGCTCACAGCCGCTCTACTGTTTGTCTATGACACCCACTTTCGGTGTCCACAAAATTGTAGTAGTTGTGATTGACAAAAAAATGTTCAAAACCGGGGGTGTATGCCCCGGACGCCGCTCGCAGAGGGGCGACAAATGGTCTCCAAATAAGATTTTCATCATATCACTGTGTATTTTTCGGGGGAAAGGGGGAGGGCCAAAAAGGTATTTAGCCCCGGGCGCCAGTTATGCTCGCTACTCCACTGCTTTCCTGCACCACCATTTCGCTGCTGAATTACCGCTAAAGCATAATTTCATATCGTGGTTGTTCGAACATAATTTTCTATCATGAATGATGCCCGCTGTTTGAAAAAATTCTATTGCAGGCTTTTCGGCACTGGGCAATTTCCGAATTGTTAAATCCACAGCGTTATTAGAAAAGAATTAAAAAATTGAACTAGTATTTCAATAGCAACTTACAAATATAGAACTATCTAAATTTACGAACTTCGGGCACGTTCGCTAGATTTGACGCGCGGTTAAATGAGCGCGTTTGTTAGATTTGGCGTTTTTGCGCATATATTTTCGGTGCAATTTTTTACGTTCACCTAAAACTGAATAGTACCCAGCATTTTTATGAAATTACACTAGCTGGACTCATTAAAAATTATTATATACTTTTTCTCTTTTGAGATAACTATTTCAAACGACTCTTTACACGAGCTGCTAATTTTTAAAGAAGTAATACAGCGAATACAAAAATGTGTATGGCAGCCTCTAACACTCTATCGAGAACCCTAAAGATAAGCTGTTTTTAAAAATATTTCGGCGATTTTGCTCTTGAATTCAATTTTAAGTGGGATAAGTGCGAAGAACGTGGTATTTAATAAAGTTAACGCACAAAAAGTTAATAATAAAAATTTTTTAGCTGTCTCACCACGATAACTGAATATACGTATGACAAACTAAGGCTGAAAAAAAATACAAAAATGTACGTCAGCATTTAACACTGTATCAGGAATTCTAAACGTATGAAAAATTTTTTGAAAAATTTGGAATTTTTTTGTTGAACTGTACGTAGCGTTAGTGCAAAGAAAACAATGCTTAATAATAAAGCTAAAAAGGGAGGTTAGCAGGCGTGAGAGCAAGAACAGATTAGTAGACACGTAGCTCAGTGAGAGGTGTAAAAGGCTTTAACTGATGAGACTTTTGTGTGTGTGTGTGCTTTTGTTGGAAGTATTGCGTCTGAGTAAATTCTAATTTTTATAATATAGTCAATATTATTAAAAAATTAATGTTTTGTGCATGTTTCTCTATAGTACCTTATATGAATATTTGCAAGACATAAAACAAATGAACACAATAAAAACCTAGATCAAGTAAAAAAAAATTTAACTTTTGCTAAAGGCATTGATCTTGGTGATTTCTCAAATACAGCGCGCACGATAATGTTAAATGCTTTTTCCATTCGATACGTGTTCTGCCGAAAAGTGCTAAACGTCTGTTATTTGATTCTCGTTTCAGTCTTAAAAAGAATATAACTCATGTTTTGTTACAGTTTAAGATGTTAATAATCTGAAAACTAAGATTTGCTGGTAGCTTTTAAAGATCTTCTCGATGAGTTTCTTCGTGTTTTTACAATGCGCAGCATACTTCCATGTAATCCAGTATAAAAGCTTAACCCTGCAATGGGCCCACCAGCAGCCGAGTGTTAAAGTCGCTGAACACTGGTAGTTCGGTCCGAGGTTCGAATCCCGCGAACGGGCTGGCTGCATGTTTTTTTTTTTTTTTTTTTGTGTGGTTTTCCCAATGTGCAACATGTATACGAGCCAGTTCCCCTTCGAAAGTCCTCCACGAAGGCATCCCTCAGGCAGATAACCCTCGAGGCTTTGCCGTAATTAAATAACCTAACCTAACCCTGTAATGATTTAATAATTTAAAATTAAAGTCAATTATTTGAAAATCTTTTAAAATTTAATGTTAAGGAAATAATTTTAAAGTTAATTCTATGAGGTATAATTTTTAAACACTTTTCAAATCATGCCACTCATCTAAAATGACAGTCTTCCGATTAACCCTCAGTATGCATCTCATTTAGAACCTCCAATTATTCGATGGCTTCTCTGAGAATGGTTTCTAAAAAAATCCCACCCATTGAAATCTTTCTCCAATAATTTCCTCAGTTAGTGTTAATCTGGTATTTTATTTTATTTTTATTTTTATTTTTATTTTTTTTTTAGGCACACGGGGTGAGCACACCGAGAGTGAAGGTGGAGTATACGATATTTCCAATAAGAGAAGAATGGGTCTTACTGAGTACCAAGCTGTTAAAGAAATGCAGGATGGGATCCTCGAGATGATAAAGATGGAAAAAGCAGCATCTTAAAACTTTCATAATTCAACTGCACCCATCATCCTAGAACTCATACAATGCAAGTCACATTAAATTCAATTTCAATTGGTTCTAAAAGCCGTTTCACGAAAGGTCATATTTAAAAACAGATTTATTTAAATGTTAACTCTCACACGTTTATTTATGTCATTGTTATATTTTTGTCTGTAAAAAAAAAAGCGAATAAAATTTATTTTTAAGTTCTCTAATAATATATCCTTGATATCATGTGTTTCTGAAAATACTGAATAATTAAAGCACTAAAAGATAAATTACAATACGAAACGCATATAAATTGAAACGAAAGAACTCGATTAAGAAGGTATTAATGATATGCACATGAATCGTAAGAATTGAATTAATAAGCGATTTTGAAAAACATAATCATTAATAATAATGCAAACGGTAGTGTCATATGTTAATTTACTAATTATGATTTTAACCTTTGCTGTAACTTCTTTTCATCAAAGGCGTAGCTAGGGTTTTCAGCGCCCGGGGACAACTGAAGATTCCCCCCCCCCTTTCTTTGTGCTAAGAACGGAAAAATTTCATTCTAAAAGTTCGTAACATCAATTTGGCGCCCCCTGAATGCTGCGCCCGGGGACAGATGTCCCCCCTTGCCCCACCCTAGCTACGCCACTGCTTTTCATAGTCCTTATCAGCATGCAAATTAATTGTAGAGTATTTAAGCTAAGGTAAGCTAGTGCATTATTATTAATGTTTAAGGTTTTGAATGTTTTAGAGTTGATTTTTCTGACAGTCTCGCTTTTAGTTCACGTCCTATTGCCAGCTCTGCCAAAGTTTATTCCGGCTTTGAGCCATTTTGCTACTCAGTGTTATAAACGCACCGCTAATTACTTGAGTTAGCTTAAATACATCACTTTGTGTAGTCTTCGATTACATTACTTAAATTTGAATTTCAGTTTATTTTAAATATTCGCAAGTGGCGGAGGATTGTCTCGTAAAACAAGTGGTGACTTTTGTTAAATTTTAAGAAGTAAAAAGTTTATTTTAACCTTCGTAAGATCTCCGCCTGAGTCCGAGTGGTAAAGTCGCTGAATACCGATAGTTCAGTCCTGGGTTCAAATTAAGTGTTATGATCTAAAAATACATTGATAAAAACTATAATCTTAAATTCCACAGTAAGTAATTATAAATATATATAATGAAATATACTTTAATATTTGCATGTGAAATTTACATGAAAATAAATGCATGCATAAATAAATTTACAGAACAAAAACAATCCAACTTGTGGTGTAAAAAGTATTTGTATATTATACATAATGTTGAATATTTTCATAAATATATTTAAATTAATACCTTATAGGATATCATTCCTTAGCGTGAATAACGGCTTCGAGTCTCCTTGGCATTGATTCAAATTTGTTGTTACCGAGCAAGGTATGGACTCCCATTCATGTTTAAAAGCAGTTAAATCATTTTTATTAGAAATTTACTTGGATTTAGCATTTTTGTGAAGTTTACCATTAATTTTCAATGGGATTGAGGTCGGGTGACTGAGGAGGAAATTAACATAAACTCAGGGCCGGATTTAGACTTGATAAAGCCTTAAGCTATTTGAGATATGGGGCCTTTTATAAGTCCAGATATTATATGTCGGTGCCAAATATGATTTTCGGAAAAATAGAGGAATTTTTGTGGGCCCCTCGAGAAAGCGGGGGCTTTAAGTTAAAGCTTATACGTAAATCCTGCACTGCATAAACTTTGGAATGTTATGTAACATCCTGAGCCGTGTATTTACGGCTGTATGCTTGGGGTCATTATCATGCATAAAAAAATTTTCACTGTCTAAAGCCATTATTGTCGCGCTAAATCGTAAATTATTTTTCAAAATATCTACATTTTGAAACTGCTACATGGATAATACATGTTTAGCCCGCCAAAACAATGGTTTATAATGCCATTAATGCTGACTAAATTACCGACCCCGGAGGCACTCGTAACCCTCAAACCAACAAACCTCCAGCTCCATATTTTACTATTGGTAGTAAATTCCTTGAATGCATTTCCGTATTTCGTTACCATTCGCCTCCCATCCGATCCAAAAAATATTGAATTTACTTTCATCTGAAAAATTTTTCTTCCTGAACTCTGAGCTTTCATTGCCGTATTTTTTGGCAATGGATAATTGTAGCTTTCGATTGCTGTCATTTACAAGGAATTTTCATCTCCCAACACGGCCATGGGGACCGTTTTTTGCATGCATCTTGAATTATACTTACGGACACTGCTCTTCCTATGTTTCTCAGTTTTGCTATAAGCTTAGGAATACTTACTTTTCAGATCCTTTCTTCAATGAATCTGCCAGAAATCGTCTGTAAAAGGATGCAAGTAGATACGTTCGTCCTGAACGAGCGCTGTTTTACACTGTTCTGGAGGTAATAAAACTTTCGGCTGCACAGTTGAACTTAGTGTGCCGGCTAAAACTGAAATTTCATTGTACGATTTACCGCCTTTATGAAAATTTAAGATTAATTCTCTTTCGGAAACGCTCGTTTCTTTACCTTTACAATTGATATTAAAATTCTACGTTTCTTATCACATTTAAAGTTACACCCAGTTATTTTATATAACTCGCAAGATAAATGACATCAACAAAAACTAATTCAATTAGAAAATGCCAACGTTTTGCGTTTCTTTGAACGTACGAAAACATTTTACGCGCAAATAAAGCCCAAGTTTAGTTTCAAGTATATTTAAAAGCTAATTCAGTATAGTTTCCTTATTTTTACTTTGCTCATATTTGGTAAACGTTTTTTAGTTATTGCCTTTTGAAGAAACTTTGATAGAATTAGCACGCCAAAACAATAGTTTCATTCGTGAAACCGATCTTGTACGAATAATCTACACTCACTTGTACGTGCCAAAAGCCTTGTGCTTCATAGGGATTCGAAGGTAGGTTAATCACTATATTAAGAATGCAACTTCACGTACAATTATAGTTCCAGACTGCAAGCCTTTCAGTTATATTTTCTGGCTCTTGCTCTGTTAAATTTGATGCAAATAATATACATAAAAAATTGGAATTCATTTGCTTCAAAGATTTTATTATTTTGTGTCCGTTACGTTGATTTATCATTTGATGCCTTATATAAATTTCATGCATTAATATAAATGTTCAGTAATAATAACGACCTGAAAGTTGTATAAAATACGAGATACTAATTTTTCATTTTGAATATTCAACAATATTAAAAACTCAATAATTATACAAGTTTCTTATTTGGTTTGGCTAATTTATTACAGAAAAGTAGGCGAAGACTTTCTGTACGAAATCTTCTTGTATTCAGACTATGAATGAGCAAAAACAAAATAAAATTCAGCAGCACACCGGTTCGCTGCAATTTGAACTACGTTCGAACTACCAGCAATGAGTGGGCTTTTCCACTCCGATAGTGGTAAGCATAAAAGTCTAGTAATTATCGAGCATTACTGACGTTTTACGATTTTGTTTTTATTTTAATAAAAATGTGGATAATTTTTATATTTGATTACAATTATTTTATATACCGCTGTTACAATGTGTAATTAGAAATATTTTTTTTGGCATTGATGGTATAATTTTTAACCACTTGCGCTCGTTGCTAAACTTCACGGCTGCGGTGCCGTGCGCTACAATATAACAAGCGGTAGTATCTCATTTACGCCGCTCCGCGTCTACGAGTGCAATCCAGGTGTGATGTCGTAGAAATATTGATAGTGTAGCATGTTTAAATCTTGGTCCACAATGAGGAACAATTTGGCAGACGCGGAGTACTAAATGTTCATTTTTATTTCGGTAAATATTTTGTGGCCACAAACAAATTGGCACACTACTTGTGCCTTTTCAGGAACATTTACATTTTAAATACCTTTTCAGTGAAATGAGAAGCAGTAAGCAGCAGTCTATCTATGCCGAAGTGCGGAACACAAATTATCCGTTTCCTGTTCAGTATGAAATATGAGTTCAGAATGGGTTAGATTCGGTTTCAGTGCATTTGATTTAATAATTCATAATGCTCCAAAATTGCTATTTGCTGTTTTTTAGTTCTTTTTATGTTACCAGTGCTTAGAAAAGGGAATTAATCCAAGTTAAAATGAATAAGAGACTAAATTGAAGTTATAATTTTAATTTACAAATTTATCTTATAAATCACTTGGTAATCCAAACATATCTTTATTACTTGACGATTATTTTATTCAGAGACATGACGTGGCACAGCCCAGTGGGGACAATCTGCACCCCATACTTTTGATTATGAAGCATTACATATTTAATAACGAATAGAAGAAGCCAAGTAAGCTATGTCCTTTAGCTAGCAAATGTAGGCACTAAAAGAGAGGGCGTAAATCTTGCCAACAGTATTTAAAATTTCAGAGCGCTTTGTTTTAATCCTGTACAGCGATTGGGCTAAAGTTTACAGTAATGCGGATACTGCAGGGAAATTGCAGATGCTTTGAAGGACTTGTGCTTTAATTGAAAACTAGAAATATAAAGGTCTATTGCCCAATGTGTCTAAAATTTCTTTCAGTTTTAGAGAAGATTGTAGGAATGAAATCTGGAGCTTAAACAAATATATTTAACCACTTGCGCTAAAAAGACGTTCCACGCACGTCAATATGCTTTTGTTTCAAACGGCGAGCGACGTGAACACCATGTCGATAGGCATTTATCGCAAAAATGAAAATAACGCGGTGCACACGTCGCCTAACAACGAGATTGTTTATTTCTCGAGTTACAGGAAGTAGGAGAATACCAGAATTTCACCATTTGTCATACAGGTAGAGTCTTTCCTCACTAATCGTGCTGTTTCGCCTCAATTTTGAAGTAGCGGTACGAGAGTCTCCCGACCTTTATTACAGAAAACAAATTGCTATACACTTATATTTATTTACAATTTAATAATATTTTTTGAAAGATTTAATGAAGTTTGTGTATTCCTGATTATTACAGTTAAATTTATATTTATTTACAATTTAATAATATTTTTTGAATGATTTAATGAAGTTTGTGTATTCCTGATTATTACAGTTAAATTGCGTATCGTTTCGGATAAAAATAATTCCTAAATATTGTGATATCATCTGCTATCATTGCTGTTATACCAAACATTTTTTTCTCTTTCTTATATTTTCCCAAAAAAACTGTGCTTTATTCTGATGGTTTGTGATAGTCATTTCCTACGGTTCCTCAATAAGCAAACTTTTTTT